GCGGGGAAGATAGCCAAATCAAGGATGAGCACGGAAAACAGACCTGGATGAATGAGTATAGTAGAGTGTCGGAATACGAAAAGGGGCAATATTGGTAAAAGTATAGTATAGTATAGTCCATCGAATACGTTTCGCATCGGAGTTCAACCCATTCCACACGTCCCGCAGAAAGCCACCACCTGTCCACCTATGTTTTCGGTCCACGCCTGTCCACGCCGACACCGTCCACCCATCCCACACCTGGATGCAAAGCAACCACTGAGCACGCTCACCACGCGGAGCCAGGGCCACAGCCTTCCGCAGCTGGAGCGCCGAGTTGGCATTGATGGCCTGGGACCCGGCGACCCGGTTGAACCGGGCGACCCGGCCGACGACGGAGATCAAAGCGCCGAAGAACCAGCTGGACCCATTCACCAGGTGGAACCAGGTGGGGGGTCTTGACTGGCTGACCGCCTGCCTTGGTTTGGAGCTTGGCCCAGCCAATTGGCATGGTAAAGGGAACAAGTGATGTACACGCCATCCTGCCTTCGTGCAGGTTCCGCACTCCTTTCTAATCCGAACCACTGACACAAATCCAGAAAGTAGCCTTCATTCCCCGCGGAGAAAATCCAAAAAGAAAAACACTCGGTCCGGCCTTCATGACGATGGTTGAGCCCTCCTGGATGACCCGGATGAGAATCTTGGCCACGAGTCCTATCGACCACTGAAAGCCTTCAAGAGCTGTCTCCTCTCCGGGTGCATTTTCCCGCAAGACTTCCACGAAGCAGTTGGCAAAGGGTTCTATCAAATGCGTTGGGATACCATAGCCCACGTGCCGCAAACCCAAGGCTGAGATCTGCTCGGTCATCCTCAGCGCAACCAAAACAGGAGAACAGACATCGAGTGTCTTGCTGCTGCAAATGAAAGAATCATGAATCCTGAATCGTTCAATCTATTATATTTTGTATAATATATATATGTATATATGTATACATTATATATATATATATATTTATTTATTTATACTGTGTATATAATATGTACATATATATATATATAACTTTTATATACTGTATATATTCACTGTTCATGTGTATGTTTTTCGCATGCCTTGGCCCCAAGTGTCTGTGACTTCCTTGTGCTTTTGTTTCGAACATCATCCAACCTCGATCTGACCCTTCCGGCCTTGAGTCCCGTCCCAAGACACCCGGTGTTCCCGTTCTTTTCCGGTTTCGCCCCTCTCCCCATCATTCCTGCGCCCACATCGAAGTGAATGAGCAAAATCACCGAAATGGTCGCCCGTCACCTATGTCGGTCCAGGAGTCTCCCAGGGGTCGTTGAAGAGCTCGGAGGTCATGTCCATGGCCCTAGTGGCGATGAAGTGGAGCCGTGTGTTGGATTGCTTGAAGAAGTCCTGCCCCTGAGGTGCCACCTGGCAACAAGGCATTTCTGATGTTCCCCAAAAACAAATAACTAAAGAACCAAAATGGAACAGAAAACAAAAAACTATATACTTCGTAGGCAGGATGCCGGAGAGTTTCCCTCACTTTTTGGGGACCCAACCGAACCGGTTGGGACCGGGGACGGAGGGGACGCACCTGGAAAAAGCGCACGTACACTTCATCCCGCATCGCTTCCTTTTCCTTGTCAGAGAACCTGGCCATCGACAGTGGTGTCTTTGCAGGTGGAAACCGGGAAGGGACAACGGTTCCACTCTTTGCGAAGATATGTTTGTGTAGTTGCAAAGGTATCTACTCACACAAGAATAGACGGGCGTCGACACGGTGTCTGCCTATGTAAGCATGTGGGTGTGTATTTAAATAGGGAGACCTCCCAGTTCAAATCGCTGAAAGAAGGGAAATAGACCAAAACCCATGGGTTGGGGGGTCTTCCTATTAAAATACACAGCCTTCTGTGATTGTGTGGTCGCCCGCTCGCTACTAAGCTTGAGACCTGGACATGAGTCTCAGAAGAGCTGGCTGCCAAGAGCGAGGCTTATAGAGGATGTTCCGCAAGTTCCTCCGATGAAAAAGCGTGTTCCAACACCCAACACAAAGCTGGTTGGTAGTTTCCACTCAGTTGAAACATATCTGCCAGTGGGTTCAATCATCCCAAGCAAACGTAAACAAAAATAGCTGAAACCCACCGCCCCAGGTCTAGGGTCTCATCCCAGGTCGAGGCTCATCTGGGCTCCTGACTGCCAAACTGACCCAAGCATGAGGGACTGATGTGGGTCAGTACTTGGCCCTCCTTTTCCCGGGAATCCAAACCAGGTGAGGCTTAAATATGAACATATATGAACCCAGTGGTGGAAGAGATTTGAAAAAAAAGATGGTGTAGAGATCAGGAGCTACAGCGAAGGCATGTCATCCACGCGTCGGGTCCCCCGCACCGGGGCTTCCGGGACTGGAAAAGCCCTGCCGTCCGAGACATCTCGCGTCTCGGAGCACAAGCGATAACTAGAGACCTATGGCACCTCGGGTCTGATCTCGAAATCTACTCCAAGTTCTCCCTGTGGGGAACAGGCCAAGATAAGGAATGGAAGGAAGGAATGGACAGGACAAAGATGTGGATTCAAAGTCACTCCAACTGTTCGGGCGTCCAGCTGTTCAGATCACTGTTGAATATGCGTGTTTAATCACGGTGATTGCCAGCTTCAATCCGTCTGTACAAAGGAGATCAAAGGAGCATGTGCAAGGACATCTTCTGGGCAGTAAAATGCAAATGGCTTTGGGTTGCACACCGTGCAGAGGTTGCAGTCAAGGGACTTGTCGATTGCATCCCAGAGCCAGTTCCAAGCAGTCTCATGCTGTGGGTCCCAAGTCCTAGTCTGCAGGTTCTGACTCTCAGAAAGCGTTTCAGTGGCTTCATGAGGAGTCTCAACCGGTGGAACATTGGTTGAATCCTATCATCAATCCGAGGATCTTGGGCAGCATTGAGCGAAGCGCTGCCAGCATTGCAGATTTATACATTGACAGTGTCGCCTCACCCTCCACTGTTTTGCAAATGCGCAAGGCAAGTACCTGACTCCCAAGGCAGCGAACTTCCCGGATCTTGTTACAGTCGCTCAATATAGACGCTGCTGAACCACCCAGCTGAACCAATGCTGGTGGCAGTTCAATCGCACCCAATAAAAATATGTGAAATCTCGGGAAAAAACAAAGAGGCTGCCCAATGAACATCTCTGGAGGTAAGCGCCCTTTGTTCAAACCGAGTGGCTTCCGTTTCTTCCTGCAAGCGCCCTCGATTCGCTGCATTCGTCACGATGTCATTGAAGGATCGGTTCACTTCTCCAAGCCACCGATGTCTTCCAAAGCCCATGACGGTGGCATTGAACTCGAACATCTCGGTGTAGCTTTTAGGCACTTGACTGCCTGATGTTTGTAGGTGTCTGTGTATGTTGAACGGTATTTTCGATGGCCAGATGGGGTGAAACATGGGCAGGTTTTTATACTAAAAGCTTTGCTTCTGCTAGTCGAGATGAGCCTGTACACCCGAAATGGTTGATGAACCAGGCGACGACTACTTGGTCGCATCAACACCCGATTGGGCCGATGTTCGCGTTCAAAACAACGAGATCCAGAAAAGAGAAAAGAGTAAGCGGCCTAATAATGCTTGCACTGTTTCTTCTTTGTCTTCTTGAACTGTGTCATCGTCATTGGGAGTTGCCGCTTTCTTCTCATTTGAAGCTCCTGTTCTCCACTCGAAGCTGCTGCGGAGATTGATTTTGGGCGACAACCTCAGGGGAGGCCGGTGGCACCACGAACAAACTCTGTGCAACAATTAGTTGTAGATTGGTTGAAAGCACTTGCAAAAAACTGATGCCCTTCTGTGGCTTTTAGGAAACCAGATCCTTGCCCATCTGCTCTTCTTCTTCTCAGGCTCTACCTCATTTGCCTCCATGATCTCCTCCTCAGACTCCTCTTGATCTTCATTCTCCCCCTCTGACACCTTGACGGCCTCTGGCTGATCTTCTTGCTTGTTTGCCAACGCCCAGCTGGCAAGAAGAATCTTCACAAGGCCTTTAGTTTCATCGTCCACTTCCTCAACCTTCTCTACTTCCTGCACTTCTTCTGCTTTCGGATCTTCCTCTTCAATGTTCTTCTCGTTTGTAAGTTTTCGGTGTGGATTTCGTCCAGTCCGAGTTCCGTAGGAGGGCAAGTCTACATTGCCAAGATCCTCTAAATTGGTGGCCTTCTTGTTGCTCTTCTTCTCGGACTTTCCCGGCTTCCCTAGCTCCTCTAATGCAACAGTGTTGCCTTTCGGAGCAGCTGCAGTGCCAAGGTCATCCAGAGCAACCACCTTGATTTTGGGGGCAGCACTACCCAGGTCATCTAATGCGATAGCCTTTTTGGGGACCACACTCCCAAGGTCATCCAATGCGACGTTCTTGGGTGCTTCCGTGCTTCCCAGGTTCTCAAGATCCACCATCTTGCCTCCGCCACCTACAGCAGCCGCAGCAGGAGCGCTCGCTGCATCATGAGCAGCTGCCATATCTTCTAAAGATATGATACTCTTGACCGGGATCTGTTGTGGCTCTTCGGCCAGAGTCCCAATAAGATATCTTGACATCAAACTTCTAGCCTTGCGGCTCGTACCATGACCTAGTTGTGCTTCAAAGGAGGCATCTTGTCCTCCATACTCCAGGAGGAGCTCCTCCCCGCCCGGATGCATCGATCGGAACTCGGTGACATCATAGACATTGGAGTTGATCACCACCCACAAGCTGGCAGCACTGTTGTGCTCAGCTACTTCGGAAGCACTAAAGGTTCGGGGCATCCAAGTCACCTCAAGATCATAGCCTCACAAAAGGCGTTCACACTAAGCTTGAGCCATGGAAAAAGCTTCTGTAGGGGCCAGCCAAAGAATGACCTCGCAACATGTCAAGCAAGAAACAGAGAGATCTGGATGCGAGCCTGCGTGTCAAAACCCTGTAGCGGGGTACCTATTCCATTCCCATCAATGTCGCTTGGCATACCTGTATATACATAAACGACTCTTAAGAACGGATAGGAATGAGCCTTGGCAATGGGATACGCCCAAGACTTTTTGAAGCCACCCTCCATGTTCGAAAGGAAACCGATGGCGAAGACCAAGACATTCAGGACGCCAAACCTTAGCCACTCAAATTGCCTGCATGCTTCTTTCAATCAAGCTGAATAGAGAACATGGTGATCAATTGTCGTCGTGCCACGATATTGTCATCAGAAGTTATATAGCGGTCCCCAAATAGATAGTAGTAGTATAATAGTGTCCAATACATGTTTGGTGCGGATCTACTTTTCTATCTATTTAGGGGTCTATCTACGTATGTATATATATATATGTATACAGGTGTGTATAGTAGTTCAACATCTGGCCCTGACAGCATGTGAATGAGCTGCGGTCAAAACCTGATAGCTTAGGTTCTCCTGAATCAACCAATGGACCTGCTATGACCTGCTGCAGGGCACCTGCAGGGCAGCCCCGAATTTCGTAAGCCCTGGATGATTTCTGGAATTGATACTCAAAATGAGTTCGGGTGAAAAACTGTGAGCAGATCCATCATCTTGCGGCTTTCATTAGTTCCAAAACGCCTGATGCAGCCCAACAGGACGCCCAAGGCACATCAGGGTGGTGAGCTGCTGCTCACCCAGGCCACATTTACGGAAGCATCGTGTGATACTCTGAAACCACGACAGGCTCTCCTGGGGGGGGGAAAGGAACGGAAAGGTTTGAAAGGTTCCCCCTTTATGGAAAGGTTCTCATGCGTTTACTCTGATACCTATAAGAACACAAGGAGTTTCTTCTGAGCAAGGAAAAGGAGGGAGGGGGAGGAAGGAAGGGAGACACGGGGAGGGAGAGAGAGAGAGGGAGGGAGAGGGTGAGTGAGAGTGTGAGTGACAGTGACAGTGCGAGAGTGTGAGAGTGTGAGAGTGTGAGAGAGAGAGAGAGAGTGAGTGAGTGAGTGAGTGAGTGAGAGAGAGAGAGAGAGTGAGAGAGAGAGAGAGTGAGTAAAGAAACTGCATCAATCGAAAACTGTTTGACCCAAGAATAAGAGAGAAAATGAGGCTTCACAAGAAGCGGAGTGCGGAGTATATAGCACGTGGGTTAACGAATGAAGATAGGTGGACACTCTTCTCGGTTCTTGAGGCTTAACCCGGCACTTTCTCTCGCACATACATGCAGGTGATTTCGCAACAGCAGCTCCTCTGGCAATGCGACTTCCGCTGCCTCAACCAGGCTGGGCTGTTTTGGGGACACGTATCAAAGCTCAGTTTCACAGTAATTATATACATAAAATGATTACAGTAAACAATCGAAAGCCCTCCAGTCTGATCCGTTGATGTACACTGGCCTGACGTGCGCCAGATGGCAAGAAGACCCCTCTGGAATACCAGCTGCTTGCGGTTGGGCCTTGTCAGTGCCTCCCTCTTCGTCTCCAACATGTGCATTGGCTTTCTTGGCCCACTCCCTCCTGTCAAACCCAAAGTACCATACAACTATACAACTTCAGCTTCACCAAAACAATAGCAAGGACTCAAGCAGTTTCGAATCAAACCAACACTGATCCAGCAATGGAACTATGCCGTAAAATGACTCATGCAAATCCAATGACGGAAGCAAACAACCACACGATGCTCACTATTGTCTCCACCAGATCCGGCGCTTTCTTGACCGTCTTGTACCTCTTCAAAAGACTCTATAGCTTCTCCTTCGCTGCGCCACCAGCTGCCTTCTTTCCTCGACCAACCTGTCCATGGTCTCCTGCCACAAGTATTGTACAGCTGCAACCCGGGCACTGTGGTACCCAGAAGTGGTTCTTTCTTTGGGTGATAAGCAACTTTTTAGCACATAGGATTTTTAGTGTATCTTAAAAACTATACATACAGTGTATATGTCTATAATTATAGTTATATTGTATCTATACATATATATATATACATGTATCTAGCCGATTCTAGCCGTATGCGTTGATCATAACTCATATAACTCTGCCCACGCCGACGCTCAGCTTCCGGCGTGTTAGCCTCTTCACTGGGTCCCGCTGGGTCCCTCCTTGCGCAGCACCCACGTCAACAACCGTGGCCGGTAACGTCGGGAGAAAAGCCAACTGCCCGGTTTCCTGGCCGATGACGGGTTCAGATGACAAGGCAAAGTCAGTTACAATTGTTTCAGAGTAGATGGCACAAGGGCCCCCCCAAGTTCCGTGGTTTAGAGGACCCCCATATAAGAGACATCTTTGGGTACCAGTGCCATCTACTCTGCAAAGTCATGTAGGTGTTTTGGTGGAGTTTCTCTACGGCACTGCTACTGTCGGACGAACTGTCTAAGTATATTACAGTAAGTAGAATTTATGATATGCCCCTCGCAATCAGCTCCCGATGCTTGTGCATTCTCAAGCTTGGACCCAGCAAATCACGTGCCTGTAGGCATGGCAGACAGCGAAGAGGTAGATGAACAAGACCAAGGCGCAAAATGCACCTTGCCAACAGATTGCAATATGAATTTGGGAATGCTAACAGTTCGGCATGCTGCTCTCCAATGCATTAACAGTCGTGCCATCAGCCACACGCCCCTTTTCCTGTACCTAATTCTTTTTCTGTGGGGAGGAAACTTGGTAGACAGAAATTGACCCTACCAGTCTCGTCACCTCTCATCGAAAAGACCCGCGTCTGAGAAGGCTTCCGTGTCTGCTTCCGTATGGTGAGAAAACTGCGAGCCATGCCTACTCCCAAGGCGATGTTCTCATAGCCCTCGAAGGCAAAGCCTGTCACTTTGATGCTAGCCTTGTGGGATCTGTTGGTGAAGTCCTTGGAATGTGCCGAACCACCGCTCGGGGCTGATGGTGGTGGCTTCTTTTTCAGCTGCAACAGCCGAAGCACACTTGACAAGTTCATTTGTGTGGTGCTTCTCTTTTTGCGTGGGGGCTTGAGAGAGGTGTCCAAGTCCCACTTTGTTGTGCTTGAAATCCATGTTGTGCTCCTTGCATCCAAATCCCACGTGCTCAGTCGGCTGACCGAATAAAATCTTCTGAAACTTCCAAATCAAGAGGCGTTGTTCCTGGTACTGACAAAGTGGTGCTCACCCACGGTCTTCATCTCCACCAGGCCCCCATCGAAGTAAGCTGAGGCTCCATTCAGCTGCTTACAGTTGGTCCTTGGAGTCGTCAAACAGCATCGACCCAGCAACCCCCATTCAGAATCCGTCCATGTTTCCTTTTGCCTGCAACCCACATGCAAAAATATGTGGCTGATCACCTAATCCAAACTCCAGATGTATGCAATGTATACAACTGCCTCTACAAACTAGTATCTGCGCGTTGGAGCCATCAAGATGTCAGACTTCTGCAGATTATACATATATATATATATATTTATTATTGTTTATATTATACTATATTATATCATATTACATTACATCTATATATTTTTTTGCTATATTTTACTATCTATATATATACATATGCGCATCAGTAAGTTCAACACACTTGGTAGGCAAGTATCTCTGAGTTCTGATCATTGGTGTCTGGATCACCTGAGATCGCTGCGGTCTTGTGCTTCCCTGCTTGCGTTCGTTCTCTGGAGGGTGTATCAAAATAGGGAACCAGCAAATTGGGGAAGGTGCCAAACAGAAATACTTTGTCTGTCCCATCGGTTCAGCAGGTTGTTATTTGGAGGCACAAACACTGCCTTTACACAGCCGTAGAAAGAACTCTCCCAATCGGTATCTCTCAAGAGCAATTGTTCTGAAGTGTACATCGATTGAAAGGAGCGGCGTCCTTTCTATCAAGGTCTTTGGGTCCTGTCACTGTCTTTCCCACGACCCCCAAAAAGAAAGGGATGTGCTATCTGCAGCTATCTCATGATCATATCAAGCGCACACCTGGGTGCATACCTTGAGAACCCACGGCTGCCAGGCACTGCCAGGAAGGCTTGAAGGGTCTCAGGTCATTCCGCCCAGTGACATGTCACGATTTGGTCCTGGTCCAAGTACGCGAAGCGGTCCACCAAGCGCCTGCCCTCCTGTGAAGTCACGAGCGGGAGGTGTCCCCTGCTGTCGAACGCCGTAGACCCTGTGACTTGCTCGCCGGCACTAGCCACGCAACAGGACGACCACATCGCTTGGGATTCGTTCCGCCGTCAAGAGGTCTCCCTTGACGGAAAGGGGGTATCTACATGCCCATTGGGTTCCCTCACAACTACACGACTGTTAGTGGAGCTCACAGAACCGGCAGCGTCGCATCTGGGCTCTTACAATTACGTCAGGATGGCAATCAAATGGGGGCATTGCGGCCTGGAGCGCAATGGTACGACACACACCGTTACCAACTGCTAGATTGTGATACATTTGCCACTGTTCGTGCGCAACCTGTGAATTACATGTCCAACCACCCTAGCTTCCCCGTACCAAGACACATTCCAAGACAGCTTACGCTCCATTCAACCAGAGACAACTCTTTACACTGATGGGTCGTGCGACGACCCAAGAGGTGCGTATGCAGCTGGTGCTGCATGGGCCGTTGTCTTGCAAGAAAACGAGAGGAAAACATATAGGGTGCTAGCGACAGCGCACTGCCCAGGCAGAGTTTTTTGCAGTCGTTGTTGCAGCAGAGTCGGTCGCCCTGGTTAGTTCCAGCAACATTGCTACCTTTGTGACTGATGCGCAATTTGTGATTGATATCCTCGATCATATTGAACTAGGTACCATTCACAGATGCTCCCACAAGTGCGAGCATTGGGACCTTATTAGAAGACTAATGTTGTTTTGGGACTCTAGAAAAATGTTTAAGATCAAATGGCATTTGACTCTTTATGATGCTACTTCACAAGGAGAACTGTACAGTCCATAGGCTCAGCCTGGGTCAAGTTTGTGGGGTGTAAATACGACACGTCAAGTGTGGCAGTTTTGTAGGTTACTCCAATGGCCATCGCCGGGATCGGCGTTTTCGTTTTGCGGGTGCTGCTGCGTGTTGCAGGTGCTGGTGCTGGCTTCGTGTTGCAGGTGCTGCTGCCGTGCTGTTGCTGGTATAATGATCCCAAGGTCCATCTTGAAAATCGATCCCTGCGAGTTTTGTCAGAGTCCTTTCAATGGATAGTTAAGCATATTCAAACTGTTTCCCCTTCGAAGCTCATTCAATGCTCATTCCTTCATACAAAAAACAAGGAACTTCCAGTTTGGCCCGGTTGGGATTTCTAACACACATCAGGGTGGGACTTCTCGCCGCCCAGGGTTGCCTAATCCAGCACAGACTTATCGGTATCTCCGTGATTTGATCATACAGAAATAGCGCCAAAGACCTTACTTACCACCTGCCGCCAAGAAGTGTCATTCCCGAAACAAGACGCTGTTCTTCGGCATGGTAGAGATGTGCTGTTTAGAAAGAAATACTTTTAGCATCTTTTAATCTTTTAACACTATTAGACATTTTGACCAATTGAATGCAAATTTAAATGAATTCATGTCATCCAAATTCAAGTGGATTGTGTCCTGAAAAGAGACTTAGAAGTCACAGGCGATGTCGCCTTTGTTGCCTTTTTCGTTCGTTGCCTTACAGTTGATGTGTGTATTTCGTCATATTTCAAGTGTCTCACCGTCATTTCTCACTGGTTAGCCTTCCCAGAAAGGCGCGATACAACATGCCAACAGTCAGCGTGGGTGCGTGCATCGACAAGCAAGTGCGGCATCCAAATGGGTGGGTTTTGCTATCCAAGAGGCTACGTTCTTCCTCTCAAACAAATGTCGCGCTGCGAAGCTGCTGTGACAGCGACATTGCCTCGTCGTTGGGGTTGTTCTTCGCATCAAAGAGCAAGGTGTGCTTCTCCAAGGGCAATGGGATGGTCTCCGCACGTGATTGCACCTGGCGAGGGGGGCGACCACATTCCTCCGGATGATCGTCTCAAGTTTCGATCCATCGCCTTTGGCATGAAAAGAATTGACTGGACATGGACGATCGCCGCACGATGGAGGCGACGCGACGCCTGAACCAAATTGGATCGATCGGTGCCAGCGCGACCATTGCCTGGCAGGTTCGAACCATCCAGTGTGAGCACCAGTGGTTTGCAGTATTTGTCGGAACCTCAATGGGTCGGGTTTGACCGGTTTTACCCCCCAAAACGGTGGGTTTCCTGCAGACGTTCTTTATCGATGTATACTATTAGCAAATCATTCCACCCTGGTGTACTCAGATCAAGAAGGGCTTTGGCATGTTTTGGCGGAATCCCCCTGCACACCTTTCTCTTAGTTGAGGACGCCGGAATGATTGTTTATCTGTCCATCTACAGTTTCCTATGCGTCCGATCAACACAGTGTGTTGATGCCAAAAAATTGAAGGTTCATGAAGTTGCATAATGAAACAGGACCTGCAACTCAGACCTTGGAATTTATGCTCTTTAAGGCACCTTTCTTTGTAATGAGCTTGGGACAGTCTCTTGTCTCAGTGTTTCATGCAAAATGTGCTTACACTTCTGGGCTTGCATGCCACGTGGCAAACCCAAAAACATCCTGCCTGCATTGTTATTGTTGTTCGCATCAGATCCCGTCCATTGAAAGTGCAGCAGTGTGCCCACCCTTGGTAGCGGACATCTTCAAGCTTGCTCATTTCAGCACTCACACTACCAGTACTTAGCAAATACGTACATGGCGCATCTCAAATTGGCGGAGAGCGCATCCCACCCAAAGATTACTTTCAGGCAAAATCCACAAGCGGTCATTTGTCAGTATCGTGAACCCTCAATGAGCTTCAAAAACTCCAGCAAAAAGGCATGCAAAGCTGATTACAAAGCACAAGTTCAAGGTCGAAGCAGCAACCAACCAATGAACCTTGACACCAAACCAACTCAACAGCCCGACAACTACCCATTCCTTGATGTGAACTCCTTGTTTGCTCTCTTCAGTATCCCAATTCGAACCGTCATATGGTCAAGTGCGCCAAAACATTCCATTCATCGTCCCCTTCATCTCTTCGCGCTGCATCGTCCGCGAAGCGTCTCCACCGAGAGCTCGGAAGGGACAAAGTCATATTCCACCGAGGGGTAGACTTGAACAATGTTCCCACGTCGGCCACCTGAGGCCGGCTTGCGCTGGGAGAATTGAACTTAGAATAGCCATGCGACAAAGATCACATCAAAAGCTTGGTGACCACTAAGCTTAGAAGCAAGCTTTTGCTCCACAAAGGCAACTGTCTCCTATTGTCTCCTGCAGCCGTGCTGCGCACATTGAGGTTCACAATCCGCGTCTCCATGGGAACGTCCGCAGGCCTCCATCGAGGACAACGGCACGTTGTCAGCTAAGGAAAGCACGGCACCCTCCATCAGATGAGGCTCAGCTCAGCTAAAGAGAAAAGGAATGTCTGGCCCCCATCCTTCGAACGATCGAACATCAAGTCACCACAGAACTGAGCCCCTCGGTGCCACCTCTCCATCACGATGAAGCTGTGGGTTCGATCCTCAAAGGTGCGGCCGAACTGGTTGGTGTTCACTTGAAGCTGCAAAAGACCTCAGAAACAACGACCGAACTCACAAGCACCGAACTCACAAGGCCCAGGAAGACTGCTTTCACTGCCTTGAAGGGAGTGTAACCGTTTGACGGCCAACCAAAACACCAAGACCAAGCCCCAAACACCAAAACCCGAAAGCCTCAGGGCGCTGGTAGCTTCTGCCAACTTCTCCAAAATTGGCACCAAGCTTCGGCTGGTGTCCTGCCCGGTCTCTCCCAAGCCTAGCCAGTCTGCCACCGGATCCTGGAACGGATTCAATCGATGACAGGAATTCGAAGCGTGCTCGCTGTGTCGACGCTTAGCGCGTAGCTAACCCATTCAACAACCAAACAATGGAAGAAACAACAGGATTCAGGTTTGTTCACCAAGGGATGAATCAGTGAGCACACTGTGAATCACCACAAAACAAAACCAACCTCCCATGACCCAACACCGGGGGAACCTCCGGTGTTTCACACCCCCAAACACGCCGAACACGCTGTCCACTTGTCCACTCGTCGGGATCTCCTGGGCCAAGGGCACCGGCACTCCCGGGCGCCCACTGAAGGTCCTGCGGGTGGCGGGTGGCGCACACGGAGAGGGCCACCGGGGGATGGAGGGCGGGCGTCGGGCCTGGTCTGCGCGTGGAACTGAGGAGAGCTGACGGAAGGGACTGCAGACGACCTACATAGGTAGGTGGTTGGTAGGTCGACGAGGAACTGACTAAGGAGTAATTCTGATTCGACAACTGATGCAATCTCAAGAGATACACCGTGCAGACTGCGTGGCTTCATGAACCCAACATCTTCCAAGAAAGAACTATATACTCCAGCAGCTACAACAAACCCAATGCGTTCTACCACATCACCACATATTTTGGGTCAGACCCAGTCCTGCGTCGTCGATTGCCAGGATTGGGGTCATTGTACTTGGCATTCATGAAGAAGGGATCTGCTTTCACACCTCAAAAGTCGATTTTTTTCATGTATATTAAAAAAAAAAAAAAAATGTGAAAATATTTTTTAGAGCAACTATATAGGGAAGCATAGAATCAAGCTGGTGTTCGAATCCTCTTTGAATCGATGTGTTCATCCTCGCCTGACAGAGATGCGCCTTCCTCCTCAGGATTCGCCAACGAGCCATAGTCGAAGTCCTTTGTCGTGATGTTGTAGCCTCAGTCGCAGCACAGGTTCTGGAGTGAAGTGTCTCTCAGTCTTGGCAGAAAGTCTGCAAAGAACAGAACAGAACAGAGCCTGAGAAGTCGTTTTGCAGCCACATGTTACAGTAAATCGAGCCGTTTGGGTCATGTATGTTGCGCCTGTGTCAGCGTTCGTCATAGACACCCACAAATCATTTTGTGGCTGCAAACACGCCAGGCTCTTTGCCCAGCCAAGCGGTAGGCAGTTGAGCAGCGAATGCGCAGAACCACGCGGCCCTTGACGAACTCTGGGATCTTCCACACCTGAAAGTGAAGAAACTGTTCTGTTCAATCATGTGCGTTGGATGGGTGGGTCTGTTTCCAACACAGAACCCCCTCCTGACAGACCCCTGGTAGTAGGAAGATACATCAGTCAGAGACTTGGGAAATTCATGGAAATTCCAGTTTGGGATCCTCAATTGACACCATGCTGCAACAAATCCCGCACTGGCCAAGGCGCATAGTAGTGGGGTTGTCCATTCCGGACATTTCCGTTGTGGTTGTCGCGGCTCGCAATTCCTGAATCAGCAGCTGCAAAGCTGCTCGTTTCCACATGTATTCAAAGGACAATTGGCTAGCTCGTTTCCACCTGTAGGAGTCAGCTCGACTGCCTTGCACAATTCCAATCGTGGAAGCATTTGGACGTAAAAGGTGAGCCCGCCTCCAGTGCACTCAGGGGGAGGCTCATCAAAGGCAGCTTGTTCCTTCCATTCCTCAACCCAACAAACAACGCACAAGTCAGAAACGTCGGCACAACACGACAAGACTAGACATTGTTCGTTCGTTCATTTGTTTGTCTGTTGATTTGTTTCGCTGCTCTAAGAGCTCCAACCCCCACAAGACAGACGTATCCACTTGAGGAAAGATTCAGATACTAGTAGGAGTAGCGCTCTGGCGAAAGAAATATGGCCAAAATGAATCAATCGCTCGCGCCAAAAGGAGTAAAAACAAACACATTGACGAGGAACGGGTCCGGTTCATTTATTTAAAGGGGAATAGGAGGGCATCAACGGGGTTTTACAAAAAGGATACTAACATGTTTTCATGTGCATGAGTGCTTTCGAGACGCGCCATCGTTGCCAACGCAGGCATCTGGGTTGTTGTATTGCGGAAGAGTGCAGTAGCCCTTCGCTTTCACATTCTGGGACTCCATTCTGTAGTATTCACCTGGCAGAACACCACAAGAAGGTCATGCAAGGGAGGCTCGAAGTACCTGCCAAACTAACTCCCCCCGGTCTTGGGAGCAAGTCACAACGCACTTGCGGTTCCTCCGTCAGGATGGCGATATCGTGCCATGGAGTTGGATGCCAATATGGGTAGTAGTCCCGCTCCTGGTGCAAAGGCACGGTTCCTCATCAGACCCATCCCCATGGCACAAGCTATTGGGCCGGAAGCTGCCTGTTGTGAACCTGAAAGCTGCTTCACGCAGCCGCTTTCTTTCAGCATGGCGTGTCGCCAGAATTTGGCCCACCAGCTCAGTCAAGTGAAGCGCAGACAACTGATGCTGGCTTGCCACAACCAACTGGCAGACTTGATGAAAACTAGGCGAGTGTTTCTCTGACACTGTTCAAGTCCAAAAATATATAAAACTCCCATTCCAATTCCCATGGAGCTGCAAGGCTTTTCGATTTAGCAACTTCCTCGCCCAGGGGCATGATTGGGAATTCTGGGATTTGGAGGATTTCAGATTGGTGTTTTTTCGCCCTGGCTTCTTTATACTGTTTCCGACCATTGAAGAGGCATGCCGTTGGGCGTCCTCCGGGCATTCAAGGCCATGTCGTTGATTGCCACGTCGGCGGCCATTGCCATTGGGATTCTGCCGGGTGGAGGTCGCCCCACCTGTCGAGCTGTTTTGGGGGGGACGCATCGATTTTTCACCCTCCAGGCTGTGGTGATGTCCAGTGGGTCGTGTGGCTTGTTCTTTCAGCCTGGCCAAGTTCGGCCCAGTTCTTGTCTTCACTCTCTTGGCCTCCTGTTCTGGATGTTCTATACCAAATAAGAAGCCCAAGGTGAGGACGTTCCTTGTCCAAAGCGTGAGGAGGACGTTCTTCCGCTGTGGCAGGACCTGAATTCCTGTTGTGGATGTTCTACACCAACGGTCTCTTGACGGTCTCGACTGACGGTCATTGTCATTGCAACTTCCAACCGACGAGTTCTTGAAACTGACCCTTCTTCATAAAGAGAAAAAAACAATATAGTTCATATGGCTCTCCATATATCAACATGTGGTGGGTCTTGTCACAGAATATCTAAAATAACATTATAACTATTAGTATATAATAGTAACGAATTGTTTATTTATTTGATGTCATTTGTTGTTGTTTTCTTTTATATAGTTCCTTCAGGTACCAAGGTATCAAATGTTGCTAGATCTCCATACCAGAACTTGATAACTGAGTCTGGTGTTATTGTTGGTTGTGGTAGTTCAGGTTGACTTTGACACCACAAAACCAACTAAAAAACCTACAAAAAAATAAGACTACCGTACTCTGCTTTTTGGCCTCACACTTTCTGACCTGATGAGGACAAAGAAAAACGTCCCCCCCATTTTCCACAGCGCACCATTCTCTTCAATCTGCTGGTCTGCGGTGTACAGGCCCTTGTTGCGTTCTCGCTCGATGCAGGCCTCGTCCCAAAAAAGGGATCCAGCGAGGGGACGGGAGAACGGGTGATTCGGGGACCAGGACGAGGACGTTGACTAGCACGAAAGTCACCCTGGATTCGTGCATTAGAAGCGTCCTTGTTACTACTAGTAAGGCACTTGTTACTACTAGCGATGCACTTGTTCCTAGTAGCGTCCTACCGCACCGTCAAGCAGAATTCTTACTCTTCCTAAAATAAGCCTTTCGTTCTTGCGACTCGGACTCCAAGGGGGGCGTCCTGCAATCTCCGAGGCCGAGCCGTGCCGAGCCGAAACGGTGCCGAAACGGGGCCACCTGATAGTAGTCGTAGGTCTCATGGTAGCCTCGGGAGACCTCCGCAGTTTCCTGTCAAAACCGAGTGGTCATCCACAGTACTTTGCGGCTGCCCTCTTTGGGGTTCTGTCAATTATTGCTTGCTTCCCCATCAGAAGAACTGTTCTCCTCAAGCTCAACTTCAGTCAAAGGAAGAGACCGTTCGTCCATTTTTGCCTATGGATCAAAGCACACTATGTTCGTCCTCTTCGGTAGGATCATTGCCATCTCCACCAGCTGAAGTTTGCTCTGTGCCGTCCCGGAGGTTTGCATTGTCTTTTTCTGCCATGTACTGCAGGACAATCCTCAGTTCCCAAGGCATGAATCCGAGTCGGCACAGACGCACGGCACGAGTCCACACATTTCATGTTCAGGGAATCCGTGGGAAAAACCATCAAACACCTCATCAAAAGGGGGGTCGTTTCGGAGCAAAACGAGGCATCCAACCTGGGGCCCTGCCGGCCCTGCCTTTCAGAAACAGAAACAGAACACCTGCCGTGACACCTGAAACCCAACCTGCGGCTACGGCTCTGGCATCGCAGGTTGGGATGTCCTACGCCACAGCCGTGCCTTGGCGGGCCGATTGGAAACGCTTCGCCGCTTCGCCATGTCGAAACGTGGGTCAAGCATGGTCAAAACTCGGAAATGGTTTGGTCAAAACCATACTGTATGGTTTCTCTGGGTTCAAGGCATGAATCCTGCCCATACTAGGAATAGGATGCTTCTCCGTCCTTCATGAAACCTTCCCTAATGTTTATCCAAAGTCCTCGATGTTTGACCATGTGCCGGCAATTGCGCTGGCAATGTTGAGTTGAGACCTACAAACAGCATACTTTCAAAAGGTCGGGGCGTACAGGATTGGGTTGTTTCGACTGCCATCCAAAGAACTGCATGTGCCACTCGATGTAGAGCTCGGAGCCCTGGTAGAATTTCATCGTACCCTTTGTGGCACCTGCAGCGGAACTATCGCGAAAATATGCAAAAATGTGTTGCAAAACTGTCCGGCCATGAAATCACAAGCAAACACTGCGCACAGCGATGGACACGCCTTCGACGGTTACATCATAATTGTTGTTTGCATCCTGCGCAGCGATGCTTGAAGCCCCCAGTGAAACTACCCGGGCCAAAACTTTGGGGTTGCATCACAACGCTCAACCTCACAAAAATCTTCAGGGGAATTCCAGCCCCCTCTCTCTCTCTCTCATGCGGTGGGGACATCCCAACTGCGTTTACGCAAACAGAGACGACTCCCAAGAGACCGGATCCTCCGAATTATTTCTGAAAGAATTTTGAGTTGAATGAATTTTGAGGAATGTTGAAAATTATTGATGAAAACATTTTGAATGAAAACAAAGTTATTGTTGAATGAACTTTGCGGGAAGATGTTGTTCGACCTTTCTTTTGCCCTTTGGACTGTGGACGCTCGGTCCAAGCTGTCGTTCCAAGAGAAACAAAACTTACCGTAGACCAAATCGTAGAAGCGTCTAACACACTATATGAGTTGCTTTGTGCACGAATTAGAGGTTTGCCGGCAACGCACGCAATTATGCAAGGCAAACTACGCGAAGAAGAGTCACTGCGAAGAGCACCACCCTTTCTTGTCATAGCACCTGCCACCGCAGGGATAGCAAAGGTCAGTGTAATCACTGCAACCACCCGAACGTTGCAGTTTTCTTTTGAAGCTGGGCTGCAACTTGAAGCAAGATGTCCGCTGCAGATTGCCAAAAGGGCGCGAAAGTGTCTCGCTGGTAGCGATGTCCTTTTCGCCCCAATCCCCGATATCTCTAGCTTTCAACGGAAATGAGACGAAAGACTTCTTGACTCAATCCGTGTTCTTTCTGGTATAGGCTTTCGTTTTCCAGGCCCCTAACTCCCCAGACACGAATGTAGCCTTTCCCGACACGAAGAGTTTTCGTGCCATGGTGAGATTTCGCGCGAGTTCGGCAGAACCGGCCCGAAACTTGTCTACAGTCAAAAACGATCGAAACATCCAAGCTTAAACTCTCCGATTCCGCTTCAAAAAATACAAAAATTGAAATTTGATGAAATTTGATTCATGCAGTCCCATCAAACTCGCAAAGGCTCAGTCTGGGCCCATTCAAAGCAAATGATGAAAAACTTCGCCTTATTTGGAACGGAGCTCCATCGGCTCGGAACAACCCCTGCGATGGCAAGCCCTGGAGCCATCTGAGTGCTGCTTTTCCTGGGCACACATGGAGTCACGCCACTGTCGAGCCGCAACAACTTGGAGTCAGCCTGAAGACGCTGAAGTTCTTGCTGAACACGTCAGCATCCGACCGACCCGTACCGAGGCCAAGAACGAACAACGTGGTCAACAAGCCCTGCCGCACACTCGCCGCACTTGAAGAACTGCCTCTTAGATTCACCTATTCGACCCCACAACTGCCGTGCAACCTGAAATGTGATGGATGTCTGTGCCCGAAGAGTGTGGCACGACAAATTGCTCAGGATAGGACGCATGAGATGACGAATCGAACGTGGATAGCTGAAATATTTGAAGCCAGCGTGGCCTTGAAGAATGCTAACCAAAGCACACGTGAAGCAGTAGTGAATATGCCACCCACGTGAAAGTACAAGATTCCTGAGCACTTGCTCGCGGCGGCGCTGTTTTTGTTCGGGGTGCAGGTGCTCTGTTGGGCATTGCAACCAACTGTTCCGGCGCTGATTCGCGCAGAAGGTCATCAAGCTGGCGGAAAGGTGAGGGGCTATCCTCCAAGCCACACAGCATGGACCACGACACGCTTCCTCCGCTCAAAGATGCACTCACTCAGCTTCTCAGTCAAGTTCGATGCAGAGTGCCGCCACATGATCTCATCTGTCCATCGGTGGCACAAGGCGACACTCCTCAAGGCTCCTCAAGGCGCCAGCCCTCCCAGCACAAGTGAAACCAATTGGGGGGGCTCACAGGTTCGGCCACAGGAGTCAGATCTTTCAAGGGCGCAGCCGTCGAAGGCCTTCTGCTAGAAAGCACCAGAACAGCTCTGGCCAAGACTGCCCTTATGTCGTCGTTGCCCTGAGCCAAGGCCTTCGTGACCTGGTATCACAGGAGCTTCCTCTTCATCGTCCATTGGTGGCGGTGGATGTGTGTTTTCTTATGTTTTCTTAATAGAACTGGTATTATTCGGCACCACCGTGAGTCGATCGATGGCAATGCAGCGAGCATCTAGACAATGTTGCTTTATTTCGAATTTCCGTCTGTGCAAAGGGACCAGGTGAACCCTTACGACCATGCGGGTCTAGGAAGGGGACTGAAGCCAGATGTCTCACGGATTATACCGAAAATCGATTCCAGAGTCCCAGAGTTGCTGACTTTGCTAGCCTTTGTGATCTGGCCTCAATATCCCATGCGTTGCACAAGCAACAAAGGACAAATCTGGTATACTTCTCTGCCTACGTCAAGGCTCGCAGGGAAGTTCCCCGGTTCCGGTCCTTACAGGCAGGCTTGCAGTCATCTCCAATCTGATAGCCTGCAGGGTTGATGCAAGCACAACAATTGTCCTTCGGACCTGTTTTGCCTATGCGGGCCTACATGGAAGACTCAGGCTGCCCTGCAAAAGCCACTACTCAGTGAACTCATCACCCCACCTGAAGCCGCATTGTTTTGCGAGTCAAACAACCTGTTGGCATTCCTTAGCTGCTCACGTGGATTATGATGTGCTGCGAATGCCATAGAGCTGTGTGATCCTTGCACGCCAGGATCAATTCATGGTTGGAAAAAACCTCAGGACCTGCAACATGAGAAATCCGCCAATCAACCAGGGATTCATACGACGTGAAGAGGATCTGTAGCTTGGCAGGCCACAATTAAAGGAATGATGAAGAATGGAAGTATAGACGATGTATGTATATATATATACACACAAAAGCCTCCAGAAGAGACCTGTTGGAGGGCGCTGGTATACAGCAATTGTTGTAATTAGATGTCTGCTTTTCACACCTTCTTTGGTCCCACACATCTGATGACTGGTCATCTGACGTAACGATCATCTCGGAAGTCAAAATCCTCACTCCCGCGTTGAAAAACACCGAATTCTTTCGATTTGGTGAACTCTTTTCATGGATTTTGGTGACTTCCCGAACGTCTTCACTGATTGCTCTTTCTCAACGCCAGCGAAAAAAAAAAAAAAAAACAGCTCCAATCAGCGATGGCCGCGCCCGAGATCGCCCGAGCCGCTGCACGTTGTTGCTTTGCTCACGAAGCTTGTTGTTCGATCCGCGTGGACCTGGTCTGCGAGCATCGAAGGAAGGCCCAATGAAGGTCTGCGCCGCTGCGAGAGGGAAATCCAGGGTGTTCGCTGAATCCCCAAGCACCCAAAAAAAGGATCTCAGGCACCGGCTGTTCAGATACATGTCAGCATGAGAAGACCATATCGCTGCAAGCAGGACGGTCATAATTGTTCCTTGACAGCTTGCATATGCTTGCATCTCATTCACATCTGCGTCTATATTGTAATAAGGAGTGTGCAGTGTCAAATCCTCACCAGGGAGACCTGTGTGTTTAACTTCTTCTACACAGTCCAACAGTAATTCTCAACTAAGGGGCGCAACGCCATGGCTTGAAGACAGGTGCGATTGAAAGGCTAAACCAACTGAAAGCAACTGCAGGAAAGGCAGCGAAGCCAGCGTCGAGATGAAACGAGATGGCCTTTGATGGGGTGATAACCGCGATGCAGCTCAAGCAAGCGCTATCAAACTGAGACTCAACACACTTGTCAGGAAGCCAACCACAAAGCAACAAGGATAATTCCGCCAGAATATTCTATTTGCAAAATCGTCATTCCATGCTCAGCACCTGGCTCATCCATGGATACAATCAAGAAACAACCTCAAAGACATGACCCGGCCGAGCCTTCTGCTTTCCGGCCTTGATCTCTACCTTGGAGCCTTTCACTGTGGCCTCAACGCAAGTTGTGTCAGTTTGAGATTGAGCTTACATGGTGTATGTCCTGCCATGCTTGACTCCAAGGTTGCAAGCCTGATTGCAAAACATAGTTGATGCAAACACGCTGAAATCAGGAGTCCATGAAACTAGAAAAATGCATGTGTTCCATGTACATAATCAATGCTTTCTGCCCGCAAAGACTGCAGCTCAGCTAGTAGGCTAGGCTATCAGCTTCCACGGCTTTGTGTTCTGCCTCGGCTGCCTGCGCCTCAACTCAGCAAAGTTCTGCAACGCAGTTTTTCGGCAGATTGAATTCAATTCGGCAGACGAGCTTGTATGGCCAAACAACTTGATTGAAGAATTGGCTCTCTGAAGTCGGTGAAACATCGGCCTTCTCCTCACACATGTCCTGGAGGGCCTAGTCAAACACAGACGGTCAAAGCGTCGCCAAGCTTGACGACTTACGTCGCCTCGGCACCGAAAGGTCAACGCCTCGACACAACGGTCCTCGCCTGAAGGCCCAGGAGCTCAGCTCGCACCTGACGCCACAGTTCCACGGCCCAGGTTGGTACCCACGTTTCTTCCAGGTTGGGCGATGGAAGACCAATCCACGGACCCAGACTGGTCTGCACCTGCTTGTCCGCTGGCGCGCGCTCAGAAAGCTTCTCCTGGATTGGCGTGTGGAAGGCTCTGCCCTCTCTGGCCGGAGCTATAGCAAAAAGCATTGGGGCAACATGGTTTTCTCGGTAAGCTGGTTTTGCTTTCCTTCAATTATGCAGAATCTCCCGCAAGCTTCACTTTCTCAAGTTCGGCAGGTGTTTGTATAGTCAAATCTTGCTAGGTGACATGCGTCATGCGTCATGATCCAATTTGACAACGGTTTGGTTAGCCGCATCCTCCACCTGCTTCAGCTTCTCAGACAATTCCTGCCAGAAAGACGGCTAAGAATACAACTGGATGATGATTGAGGTGGTGAAAAGGCCAACAAACGGGACCTAGCTGTGGTCCTTGCTTTGGTCCTTCAACACTTTAGGCTAACAACACGTATATACTTTGTAAATCTTTGTAAACCAAGTCCCAGGTGGACAACCGCTCCAAGTCAAAACAGCAACCTTCCCCTGTGTGGGGCTCCGCCTCTGTGATGCAGTCGATGGTCATCTTGTCGAAGTCACCACGCACTTCCGGCTTGGTGATGAGACCATCCGCTGCGGCCACCAGAGTCTTCTCTGTGCCAATGTCCTCGGGTCCGGCCGGGGGTGCCGGTGCGAACGGGGTCGGCTGCTTGTGATAAGACAGAACGGACGAACAGCCATGAGCTGGGGGTCTACGGGGTCTCCTCGTTAAAATATTAAATACACACTCACATACTGTGTCGTCTTGTCAAATTCTTGCTTGAATGGCTCCTTGTGTCTCTCTACTAAAGGCTCTCTACGTCAGGGCATTCATCACTCTTCCGACAACTTCTTAAGCGCGTCCGTATGACTGGGTACTTTAGGAAGTGGCACACGGAATGAGAGCACAATCTCCAGAGTGGGGCGCTCCTGCAAGTACTCCTTGATGGTAGCTAGCTTTTCATTCTTGTCCTCCGAGCAAAAAAAAGAGGTCAGAAGCTGGTCTCACTTAAAGAACTTTGCTGTCCTTGTCTGAGGTCCAAGAACCATTCAGAAGAGTACAAAACCTGTGTCCAAAAGCACAAAAAACAATTGCAATGTCAAGAAAGCTTTCAAGCAGTCTACAGCACTCTTGACATCTTGGAGCACACTGGTCAAAGCAATCTGAGGACATCACGCACCCTCATTCACGGAGATGTTCCTGTTCTTGGCCTTCTCAGCAAGCTCCCCCCAGGCACCCGACCCTCGTGCAGCCGCTCGGACGAGCCTCGTGGAGTGCATCGCTCACCACCAACTCATCACGACTCTCCTTCTCGACCTGCACGGGACCGCCACACAGCGGATTCGAAGAACGAAAGAGCCAAGCGGACGACAGTGAAAGTGGAGCCGATGGCAAACATTCAGAGCGAACCAGGAGCATGTGATACAATATTGGAACTCGACCACTTTCCTTTGGAAAGGTCTCACTATGTCGTTTCAAAAACCCAAACTGACTATCTGAAGCCATCACAGTCTGCTTGTTGGCTTGAAAAGGGTGAGCACTAATGTCAGAACACACGCAGTCTGCAGGAGAGAAAGCTATGGTATGAAACAATGAAATGGGTAAGGAACCGAGCATTGACGAAACACCGAAGGCAAGTCCAAACACAACCAAGTGCGGGAGTGACCATAAAGTATGAACAAACGTGCAAAAATGGCATCCCTAACCCTATGCCTTGAAGGCACCGTACACCGTACTACTGGGGTGTTAGAACACTGAGCCCCCGCGGTGGAGGCAAGTGCGAGTCGAAGCAATCTCTGAAAGGTGCAAGCGTGAGCACCAGTGCACCCGGCCCGGAAGCACTGTTTTCCGGAAGCACTGCGAACGTCGGTGTGAAACAGAAAATGAATATCGGACAACATGACTGCGCACAATCTCTACCTGAAATGACAAGTTAGGGATACATACATAGTCATAGTCAGCTTTGTATGCAAAACTTCGACTCCCCCCTCGCCATCTTGGCGTGTCACGGAGGTTTACGCACATTCACTAATTACCGTGCCTGGGGCAGCGGTTTGTGGGCCTTCGGCTCGGTCAAAATGCTTGTCTGGCTCCACGAACACCTGTCTCACCTGGGGCCTCCGGTGGAGGATGCGGTGTTGGGAACAGGAACTAAGACCACGTTCGGCAACGAACAGCCCGCGACAAAGGGCGGCTGGTGGCTTGGACGGTGTATCGGACTTGCTCGGCTCTTCGGAAACGCCTGCCTCAACGAAGGTCTCCAGTCTGATGCTTTGGCAGCGGACAAAGACGAGTCGACGGAGCGAGAGCGGTCTGCACGCGGTTCGCACGGTGGTCGGGGTGCTGAGTTGAAGACCATCCTAGGAGCCGCGACCTTGGCGTCTGCAGCCCTAGCGTTTCTAAGCGGTACGAACAGATGGTCTGACTTCCAGTACCCCTGTGGCACACGATGCCTAGGCTGAGGGGTTTCTTGGAGAAGCTGTGGGTTGATGTTATGCAGGAAGTGCCAGAGTTCGGGGAGAAGTGTGGACCAGGTGAGAATCATGTCAATTGGAAGCGCTTCACCTTCAACCTGCCAAGTCCACTGGTTTGAGTGTTTGAGGACATACCGAAACCAGTCGGAGTACTCGCGGCGGGCTGTCTGGGGAGTGATAAATGGCAGTTCAAAGCAACGGCCAAAACGTGCATGGGTGGATCGACCTAGCTGCGCTCTTATATATTGTTGCAGGCTTGCGAATACAGGGCATTCTCCTTCCCTGGCGCATGTTTCCGCCCGGCTCTAGTGCCTCTCCGCCTGGACCGACCCCCCGCGCCAGCAGAAGCGGCAGCGGCTGCCTCCTCTCCCAACTCCTCCACCAAAAGTTCTTCCTCCTCTATGGGCACTGTCTGAAGGTCAGGCTCAGCGTTGATGCGAGCGATCATCTCGTATGATAGTCCTAAGGGGCCGAAGGTGTTGGAAGTATCTAAGGGCGGACTATGGCGATAAAGGGACGACTGCTCTAACAGCGTCTCAGGCCGCCAAAGCTGCTCTGCTTCTTCAGGTTCTATTGGGTTAGTCGTCAATGGACTATCTGTGCTCGGGACTACTTCATCCATAGGGACGTCACCGTCTTGGTCTATGAGACTATGGGGTGGTCTGCACTTAGAGTTACTTACTTACGAAGGGTGGATGCAAACGCGAACGGAAGCAAACCGAAAGGTGCAAACGTGAGCACCAGTGCACCCTGGAAACAGCGGCGGAAGCACTGTTTCCTTGAGCCATAGCGAGCGTCGGTGTGAAACGGAAGTTAAGCATCTGACAGCACAGCATGACTGCGCACAATCTGTGCGTGACATGACTAGTTACGGGTACATACATGGTTAGTTTTGTACGCAAAACTTTGGCTGAAAACCTTGGCAATTCCTTTTGCATTTTATCGACCTTTGCTTCCAACGATTTTGGACAGGCTGCAGTATCCAGAAACCACATACAGTAGTTCTGACGAGCACCCAAGCAGAATGATGAAATACGATGTTACAAGTATGACTCCGGCCGCCACCACAGCCTGTAGCCATGAAGGGTTTGGCAGCTCCTGCCTGCCTTGAGACATGTTGGCAGCTCCTCTGGTCCTTCTTCAAATGTCGCAATTTGACACGGTAAATCATGGGCAAAAGAGTCTTGAGGGAGACCTGTAGATGTGACATGATGCCGGCGGGCTACTTCGTTGGAAGACTGCAGCTGCGGCTATGGTCCAATGCGATGGACCGATCGCACGCGCGCATCCCCAGTGAGCCCTTTGGCCCGAATGTCTCACGATGCGCTAAGCACCAAAATGGCAGGACCCGCAGCGACGCAAGATCAAACAATGGAACTGAACCTCTGAAACGACAACATCCTGTGACGTCACACACTCTGACGTTCTGTGCAGCCGTTTCTCACAGGACAAGGTGCTGCCTCTAAGTTCAATGACAATGTAACATAATGTAACCTTTTCTTTGGCGGATAAGTTGCCCCAGTCCCCAGTGCCAAACGCATTAGCTCGAAGCTCTGATTTTCTCAACTTCAAGTAATTATTGAAGAATCTAATGTGCCTGCTTTGCATATACGCCAGCCAAGCCTGGTTCACCGGCAAAACAACAGCAGGCAATTGGGTTGCAAGCAACAGCTTTGTTCAAGTTGCGATCTTCCGTCTATGAAGGTGGCTGCTCGATGGTTTCCACTTCCCCACAGAAAAAGCCATGCGGGCGCCCAAATTCCGGAGGGCTGAGCTACCAAGAATTCAGACGAAGTGCAGCAAAGGGCAAACAGTTCAGTACACCGTGTGCCAAAAACCGTGTGGACCCCACAACAACCGTGCTGTGGCCACCGTACATCTTGCAACGCCAGGGAGATCGTGACAACACGGTGGAACTAAAGAAAAAGCCGTGAGATCCAAATCAGCAAAGAGTCGTTAAGTATTACAACAGCTAGAGCATCTTCCACTGTGCAACCAGAATGCATGAAAGTGCAAAAAAGAACGAAACAAACTCCTGGACAGTAGCAGGCGCCTTCTTCCTCGCATCTTGCACTGACTGCAACTTCAATTGAGCTTCCACCAGAGTGTTCACCTGTATTTTAGGAAGAAGCGAGAAGGCCCGATGATTAAGTCAGTCTTTACGCGGATTCAGAGTATGCAAGAGCCATCGCAGGTGCCTGGTGCCTCATGTCTTCCTAATAATTCATATGATTAATATGTGTTTAAGAAGTAATCTTAAGTATATGTGTGTGTCGATCAAACAAAAGCTGTCGGCTTATTGAAATGCAAGCGTATCTTATCCGCCCCGACTGCATGCAGCAATCCATCACAAAGACAGAGACAGACCACCTGCCCTCGCCTTGGATTCCAGTTCGCACACTGCTTGGCGCTCAGAGCTTTTTGTGCTCTCCAAAGCAACCTTGAACTGCATGGAGAGGAAAAATGAAGATTCTTCGTATGAAAGTCATTACAGCCTTATAACCTTATAGCATTCATTCATGTTCTTGGCTGAGTACATTTAATATTTTTGCTCCTTTCCCAGGCCATATCTCAACGCGACCAGCCTCTGCTTCCTCAAATTGTTGGCGCACAGTTTGAAGTTCGGTCTCAATGGCAGCCTCCCGAAGGGCCAAGGCTTTAAGAAGTTGCAGGTCCTTCTGCTGTTGCTTTTTGATAACACAAGGCCAAGCTTCTTCCTCCTTCTTTGCAGGTCAACACTTTCCGGTTCGTCAGGGCTTAATTTGAGGAACTGGACCGGGCACAATGACTGGAATGTTCCTGGACTCGGTTCTTTCTCCTTTGGAATTCGGTCCAATGTGTTTTCCTATTCATCGAATGCTTGGACTCGGTGGCGGCTGCCAAACGACAGTCCGTCCTCGCTCGGTCCCGCAAGCTCCGGGCCTTCAGTTCCTCAATCTGCATGGACTGGTCCTTCAACTGGCACCTCAAAAACGCGGCCGGAAACTGGCAAGCAACATGAAGCAAAAAGACATGTGTCTTTTTTACACCAAATGAAACACAACGTATCTTTTTCTGCGGCCTTCCAGCACCATGGAAGAATGACACGAGACTCGAGACAATGGAGCTTCCATGCGAAACACACACACCAAAAATCTTTGCCTGATCTCATCTGCCACCGATTCCTGCCAAACAGGACTTAGGAGTCTGGGAGTAAGTTGGTGGCACAGCGACATGGGACTTCCAGATATCAGAAAGGTCAGCGACTTGGGGACGGAAGGGCCTCTGCCAACGCTTCAGAATACCTGTGCAAGCAGGATTCTAATGCATTCAAGCATTCCTTCGAGACAAAATCAATGTTTCTTTTCCTCTGGAGCACTTGAAGTCGGATAGGACGGCCACCACCGTCTCCACATCAGTGGCAAAGCAGCTGGCTTCTTGAGCCTCGGAAGGAGGTCTCCGCAAGACCCGTGTCCCGAATCGAAACGAGAAATTGAAACAAAAAGTCCAGCTCGAAAAGCTTGGAGTCCGTTCAATCGCCATAGCAGAGATGGTTTGGAACGGCACTTCAGGAAGTTCGGAAGCTTCAGCTCTTGAGTCCAGAAGATTCGGTCAGAAGATTCGGAAGCTTCAGCCGTTCAGCTGAAGGCCATGATGTTCGTACTCCAAATGTCGGCCAAAAAGGGATGAAACGAGCCCAAGATATCCATCGGGACCTATCACATGGTGTGACTGTGCATGCCATTCTCCACAAAACATCAGCAATGCCCACACCGCTCTGCTGGCGCTTTTTCAATGCGGCTTCTCAATTTGAGTGCTTCTCCAGCAGGTACAGCGGATTCAGAATTGCTGCCTACACACTGTAAACTCTGGGAACTTTTTGGGCAGTCAAGCGGCAGTACTGCGGAGGCTGAAGTTGTGACTGCCAGACCTTGTTGGTGTCAACGATGCAACCATCCAAGACCATCTCATCTAGTATGATGTGGGCCTTCTCGAGATTGAACCTGCGCAGAACACTTGAAATGCTGAGAGTTGCTACCACATTGCTATGTTTTAGAATCATCAAAAGCCCATCCAATCAGTTGAGAACAGTCCAATCGTTCCCAAACACTCCAACAGACTCCAAGAGCTTTTGGATGCTCCACTTTTTCTCTCGGTCGCTCGTCCGTCTCCAAGAAGCCTCCTGGGGGAGGCCGCGCATTGGGGACTGTGGTGTTTGATCGGAAAGGCGGCCCAGACGTTTGGTGGTTTCCAAAGGCTTTGTCTGGGTGACCAAGTAGCAGTTGTGTCTCACATCATTGGACAGATGTGTCCAGAGTGGTCCAGAGTGGTCGCGATCGCTGTCTTCAGCGCATTGGTCCTCGCGATCGTCCTGTCCTCCACACAGGATCGGCTTTCAAGGCTTGAGAGAGGCTCTGCATCCTGGACTTTCAGCTGAAAAAGGGGCTTTTGTTTGTCCGGCACAACCCGATCTTTTTGAGGTACACCCCTGTGTCAGGTACCCTGGGGTGGTGTCGGAAATCGGATCCTTTGTTTTCCGGCCCCGATTGCTTGTCACGCAAATAGTGGTTGTCTCAAAGGCATCCACCCTTGGAATTGTGGACGAAAACCAATACAATCAAGCTGAGACCTGACTCCGCTGTTGCCACTCTGGCAACTGAGCGAGCTGGGCGATATCACCTGAGTCACATGATCTAGCCGGATCGATGTCAAAACAAATGCGGCAGTGGGCCTAGCATACGCCAGCCAGCAGCATTGGCCTCAAACAAAGTAAATTAGAACAGCAGGTCAAGAGTGGGGCAAAAACAAGGAAACGTGCTCAAGCAAGGATTTGCACTTCCAGAATTCTGTCTGCTGCTTTTGGCCAAGAAGAGTACGAGGCGTCCTTGCTAAACTAGTCCGTTGGCTGCCACTCGTCCGTCTCATCCTACTGAATCAGTGACGGCGATGGTGTCTAAGTTCCCTTGCTCGCACGGCCACGGAGTGTGCTGCCATCGCCGCAGCGGCAGCAAGCCGGAGGCCTGAGGGAACTGGGATGCTACCCATGTTTGGCAGAAGCGCCCATGATGAGGTGAGAGATCCCGACTATGTTGAAAGTGTCCCTTTTGCAAGTGTCCTAAAGGATGGTGTTGATTCATCAGTGGCTGGTACTCACCAAAAGGGTCTCTCCTGTGTGTCTCTTGCTCAGTTCGAGTCGGCGTGGGCGTAGAAATGGTAGGGCTTTCGAGTAATGCCTCAAAAAGTGAGGGGGTGAGCACTGCGAGGGGGTGAGCACATGGTCCTCGGGTTCCATGCTTTGCCGTGAGGAATATAGGAATGCATGTCTTCGGTTTCCCTCGGCTCCCCGCTGCGCTCGAGAGCAGGTGCCTCTGAAGAGCGGTAGAGGCGGTAGAGACTTGGAGAAGACTTGTTCCTAGTAGTAAGGCCAGGAGCCCCGTTCGTAGCGTCCTTGCTCCTAGTAGTAAGGCCAGGAGCCCCTAGTAGCTTCTAGCTACTAGTATATAACTAGTAGTAAGGCCAGGAGCCCCGTTCGTAGCGTCCTTGCTCCTAGTAGCGATGCCAGGAGCCCCTAGTAGCTTCTAGCTACTAGTAGTAAGGCCAGGAGCCCCGTTCGTAGCGTCCTTGCTCCTAGTAGCGATGCCA